GAAGTGCTTACACATTTGCCGTACGTGACTCTTACTTAAAATAGAAGTAATGCGATCGTAAAGAACTTATATTTTATCGTGGTCTAATAACTACATACATAGATAACAATCAAAGCAAAGAGGCGAGACAGAGAAAATGATGCAGCTTCCGCCAAAATAATTCGAAGAGTATTGAGAAATTTTCATACATACATATATCAGGCCTTTTTTGTGCTGAGTCCGACTACAAATTGAATTCTATGTACTTCTGGGTGGCTGGCGTTTGCGATTTTGCAAGGGCGCTTAATATTATTGATTTGGTTTCTAAGAATCTAAAATTTCCGACTGAATTCTGATTTTCCGCTGCATAATTTCAACATACAAATTATTACCAAATAAAGCTGGCATCTTTTAGAATGTGGATAGTAATGATATGTAGTAGCTATTTTTATGCCAACGCTTATATTGGACATTAGAAAGAGTTGGTTCGGGCTTTACACCAAATTTATGAAACCAAATAAGTCTGTGCCATTTTGATTAGGCATATTTTGTAATTTTTCTGTTAAAGCCATGATGCCAGCATTGCAGAACTTCTAATTTGAAGTCAATTTAACACCATAACGTTAGATACCGGGACAAATGATAATCTATACTTAGTGCAAGCTTCGGTCCATGTGGGGCATCAAAGCTTCTTACCTAAAATCCCTTAATTTTTTGCTGATCTGGCATTTTGATGATGGATTACAAAACCTTTTCCTCTGATTAATTATTTGTATACACTGTTGTTGTTGTAGTGATTTACTTAGCCCTGTCTAGATCGGGTAGTCCTTGAATCATTTTCGTCAAGCTCAACTAGCGTGCCGTTTCCACGGGGTCGCACCAGAGGGAGGGGGGTGTTAGTTGGCATGGGTTCAGTGGGCATGTGAAGAAGTTGGTGGTATCGTTGGGGTAATCTCCACATACTTAACACAAAAATTTGGTATGTCGCAGTCGAGTATGTTTCATGATTGCCGTAATCTAGTTAACCATTAATAGTTAAATATCAGAATTAATCTTTCGGATTCAGATTGGGATTGAGGTTGAGATTGAGATTAAGACAGTTGTTCAATATTATGCAAAAGTAACTGATATAGATAACATAGTGAGCAATGTGGGTAATAGGAAGAAGTACATATGTTCACTTGAGTCGCGCGTGGTATCTACAAACAACTATTTTTATCCAACATTTCCACTTGTTAGCTACACTCAGAAAAATAATCAGCTACATACATTTCTCTCAACACACGATTTGGTTACTATAACCAAATAATAGTTGCATTTGCGTACCCGAAAATTATTGATATTTATTAGAAATTTATCAATTTTTGGCGTTCGCGTACCCAAAAAAACTTGCAATGTAGGAGAAATTAAGGGCACCGCCAGATAGAAATTCTTTTCTGCGTCACAGGAATGCTTTTGCCTGACAAGACGCACATAACATGGCAAGGCGGCACAATGGAAAACGTTGCCGCAAACAAAACGGCTCATTTTGAATGGCCAAAATTCAGCTGGTTTGAATTCGTTCCCTTTTTCAAACAAGAAACTTTACAAAATGTTAATTTCCTTAGTATTTTCATTAATTTTGAAATTAAACTCACTTATTATGCAGCGCTCAATGATACTAGTCGTCTAATTGCCATTATCAAAGCTATGCAGTAACTCAAAAAAGTGATCACGTCTTGATTTTTTTCTTATTTTTCTATATATGCAAATATTGTCGAAGCTTTAACCAAAACTCCAACAAATTTTTCATAAAAATTTTAAATTTTTAATCTGAATCTTTAAAACCCATTTCGCATTTTTTATATAGCAAGTGCAGTTCATAAAAACTGGCGCTGATTTTTTTTTTTTACATTTTGTTGCGAACTGTCTTCCGCATTTTATTTCATAAGAAATTCATGCATTATGGAAAAAAGTGCAAAAATCCATCAGCAAAAAAAGAAAATTAAAAATCAATGCGATTTTTAGCCGCTTGAAACTTGCACTTCATTAGTCAAAAATTGTATGCGCTATATTCATAGCTGCCTTACCAAAATTTTCTAAAGATTCTGATCAAAAGGTTTGAAATTTAGATCAAATTTTTTTTAGATTTTTCTAAATTTTGAATCTTTTATTTACATAAGTATGTATATGGTTTTGCTTAAAGAAAATTAACAGAAAATTAACTTGAAAATAATTGTGAATATTTAAAAGGAAAAAACACGTGGCTACTGGTTTGAGTCACTGAATGTACATATATATGTACATATCTACATATCGAGCCCTAACCGCCAAAATAACGTAAGCGACATTTTTTTCAAAATTTTATTTTTGATGCAGAAATATTCCTAGCGGTTATGGGGCTCGATATGTAAAGCATATTCGATACCAGATTGGATGTTAGCTACATATTGACATACATCCGAGTATGTATGTCCATTAGTACCTAGTTAGAGTTCTAATCCTCTAGATACATACATACTTGAGAAGGAAGGATCCAAGCTTCGCTAATTGACAAATAGTTCACAGAGGCTCGAATTGAAGACTTAGGGTTCACTCAAATTCAGGACAGTTTATTTCATTTTAGAAAATTCGGAAAGAATTGGATGAGATCTACAATTCAGAATACTCTGAAAAAATGGTTTGCAGAGTTATGGAATATATCGCTTGTTTAATAATAGTATATATAGAATTATTTCAAAATTTTAATTTAATGGAAAAACACAATCAAAGTTTGAAAAATTCATACAGTTGGTCAGAGTTGTGAAAAATGCATTACTGGTACTTAAATCAATAATGTTAATGTAAAAAATTAATGTATTCATTTTTAAAATTTAATGCAAATAAAAATTTCAATGCATTAATTTTAAAAAATTTATATTTCTAATGAAATTTGTGCACTTTAAATTATCCAAATTAGTGCTAATGAAAAATCTTAATGCATTAAATTTTTTAATAATCTTGTTCGTTTGCATTTATCAAAAACCCTAATTTATTATAAACACCCTATCTCAGAACTTGGTTGAGTAACGTCCCATCTCCAACGCAAATACATTGAAAATAAGCTGAGATAGGGCGTTTTTCAATCAAATTCCGGGGTAGGGCGTTCTTGGAAAATTTTCTGAGATAGAGCGTTTTCGAACTGGCTGCCGAGATAGGTCGATCTTCCACTCAGCCATCGATCTACTCACATAGTAAAAATTAATACATACATATCTTGAACTAGTCAGATATAGTTATCGAAAAAGCTATGAAATTTTGCACAATATAGAAGACGAGGTAACGATGGTTTCTGCATACTCACCCAGTCGGAAAAGTAGTAATGTTACATGCGTGATAAATAATATAATGTATTCTTTATGAGTTCTCGATTATATTACTGCTAGCTATGTAATCAGCATTCTAATGTATTGAAAAAGCTCCAAAAATTTCATATTAAAACACATTCATTTCTCGATACTAGGTAATGCAAAATTGAATGCCCCACTTTTCTTAGGACAACGCGCTGGGTGAAAAAATGCATTTTCCAATGTGAAAGGGATTGTTTTACTGATTATTTTTTCGATTACTATACATTACATTTTCCCACTGGGCAACTAAACAATTTAATTTTTTGGATTTAGATACTGCATATTAAAGTAAATGAGCAATTTGGTTTTGATTCAAAAAAATAAAACCACATTGCTTTTCAAAATGACCCAGTAGCGAAAATGGTCACTAATGAGGATTTGGTGACATCGTCGCTCTTGCTGTGAATCCTAAGCGACATATAGCTGACAATGACACTGGTGACAATGTCATGCAGGTGTACTCCTATCAAAGACTTATAACAGTTCATTGCAGGACATTGTCGCTTGAATATCATCAATGATCACTGCATGACAAAGTCATGCAGATACCATCAACGACTAAATTACCATTTGTATGAAAAAGTCATGAACGACTTCCATATAAACGGAGCTCAAAGTCATTGAAGACTTGATATGGCCGTACAAGACACTTAAGTGACTAGTTCATGACATTCGCTACGGGGAAATTTTTTAAATAAGTATGTATGTATGAAAGTATGTTTAGAAAAAAATCCAAATATTCAAAAAGTGCAACTTGTCGCCTTTTGCCGAATTAAAAACTTACGGTGACATTTGAAGTAAAATATTGCAAAAATGGCATTCCTAATTTTACCCCTTGCACTTACGAATAAGTCTACCAGATCCTTTTTCCTGCTACACCCTTAATTGTACGCATGTATGTGGCCAATCTTTTCAACGGATTGGTTGCAAATCGCCTTAAACTAGAATTCGTAAAGATCTCAACCGATTTTTTGCCCAATTTTCTGAAATGAAATAAACTGTGCACACTTCGATTCCTTTACGAAATTTCGGAGGAAAATCGGTAAAGCAATGAAAATAATACTGCTATGTGAAGAATTTGTTGCAGAATTTTTTCAGAATTTTCTATATTTTTCGTACAGAAATTTCTTTACAAGTTCGTTTCAACCACTTCATATAAATTTCTTTGAAGATTCGTAAAAAAATCGTTACAGAAATGAGATACTCCTAAAGATCTCGGGAATTTTGGTGTGCGGGAAATTTAATTTTTTTATTTTCAGCTATGAAGAATTGTGCAAATCCTGGTATTGCATATTTCACGGGGCAGTAATTTGTTACCAGCTTATGAGATGGTAACAAAATTTCCCGGTTACAAGAGTACACAGAATGCGAAAAGGGTTTAAAAATTGACAGGAACTTTATTTACCGGTTACAAACTTTTTATTACCAGCGCAGAATAGACCTGTAAGTGTCATCAAAAAATACCCTTGCGGCTTAAAGAATAAACGGAATGGGGCATTATATTAAAGCCAGCCTCCCGACTTATTTAAGCTACTATTCCATATGACCACAGTTATGTATTAGCATCCACAAAGGTTTTCAAATTCTAGACATTTTTCAGATACAAAATGACTTTCGTCTTTCTCCTTTGTAGGTCATTAACTTGACGCATATACTCGTAAGTAGTGCAAAGGTTTTCAAATCACAATCCAATCCGCAATAAAAAAATTAAAAGAGTAGAATAGTTGGATCTAAAAACACACCCGGTGTGAAATGCATGAATTTACATGCGGTCAAATTCTCTTATCTATATTTTTTTCAGAGAGATTGAATTGGACTCGTCACTATACCCCCAGCAATGACGCTCGCTATCTACCAATGGCTAATGAAAAACTTCTTCTTGCAATTAAAGCTTTTTTTAAGTCTTGCTTAGTCAGTTGCCTTGCTAACAACTTCACAATCAACCAATTGTAAGACTCGCAACCAAGAACTTTTTATTTAAAGATTTCTTGTGTCGGACCATGTTTCGAAACCGATGCCCACTTGCCAATTAATTACTGAAAGCTAACATTTTTCATGTGTTGATTGGCTCTTTGCTTCTTTTAATTTTTATTTTTGATTCAGTCTTAAAAGCTTAAAATGAATAATAAATACTAAGTTGGTATTGATTGCGTCATCACAAGCCTTCCTGGTACAGATCTTCACGGGTGACGCGGCTATTTTCCGAACTGGTGGCCTGCTTGGGTGGAGTTTTTGGTGCGCTAGCTTCTTCGTGCGCTGCTGGTGATTTTTCTATTCCGACCGAGCGCTTAGAAATCATGTAATAATATTTGCCATTACTGTTGGACTCTAGTTCATTGGGCTTATGATGAATGTTGACCGTAGTGGGTGTGGTGGGATATATGCCATTATTGTGGTAAGAAGATGAACCGCCATAGTAATAATTCGAGGAAATGTATGGCTTTGAGTATTGTTGGTATTCATGCTGCTCTGGCTGATCGTATAGTGATGTTTCTTGGTATTGTGTTTGTTGCATTTGCACTGGATATTGTGACTGTTGGTGGGGCTGGTAGAAATTTGTGTGCTGTAGGTGTTGTTGTGATTGGAGTTTATTTTGAGCCTGCTGTAGGTGTTGTTGAAGGTAGTGTTGCTGTTGTTCATATGTCATTTGTGGGTATGAATATTGAGTGTACAGTACATTGTCAACTCTGTTGTCAGTATGTGCTGGCTCCTCTGCTGGGTGCGGTAATGTGGCTTGTGTTTGCAAGTGTGTGTGTCTTTCTGTTTGTTTGTGTGTATTTGTTTGTGTTTGTGGGTGTGTGTGTGTTTCTGGTTGTGAGTGTGTGTGTGTTTCTGTTTGTGAGTGTTCGTGTGTTTCTCTTTGTGAGTGTTCGTGTGTTTCTGTTGATGAGTGTGTATTTGTTTGTTTGTTGTCTGTGTAATCGTCTGGGTCCGCTAAGGCAGTAGGCTCACTATGATAGATTACCGGCGGTATCTTCACCACCACAGCCGTATCGCTCGTTTCCAGTTCAATTAATTTTTTTGATTCAGGCAAATTTACGACGATAGGTGTCTCCTCAATCGGCTCATTCGTCGTTGCCATGTTTTCTAATAAGGTACTATTTTTTGTTTGTGTTGTTGTATTAGCTTTCGGCTCGTATTTTAAGTTAATATGTTGAAATTTCGCATACTTTTTCAAGTCCACTTTGTACGGAGCTTCGGTGTAGCTTTGGTCCTCATTAATAATATATGCTTCTGAAGTGGATTCTACCTGACCCCCCGTCTCCCCAGTTGTGGTAGCGTTCTTAGGCGTTGCAACAACTTCTTCCGGGATCTGAGTCTTTGGTACAGGTCTCGATTTTCGCCGCATCTTTCCTGACTTCTTACTTTCGCCTTTCGTCTTGCTTTTACTTTTTTTCTCAACTTTTATGTCATTGGTGGTGGGTAAACTCACTTCGTTTTCTAGCACTAGATCGTTTGTGGGTTCCTCTTGCACTTTGTAAGCGGATCCATTTTCGCTCATATTAAAGACACCATTACATTGCTCTTCACCGTCCATCTGCAAGTGTATGGCATTCTTGAAGTCATCTCCTAGGTGTTCCAACCAAAAGCTCTCATCCACTTCGCCCAAGGTATAGTAACGCGTTGTCTGGGCGGTATCACCTTGGAAGAATTCGCCTTGTTGCTGCGCCACATCAACAAAGTTATACTTATCATCGCTGCTTTTGTATGATGTAGAGGGTTTCTCCGTGCTTACACTCAAAGCCGTGGTCTAAATTGAATAATTTTACAACAGGTAAGTTGTGTTTTGTTTTTTTTTTTTGTTTTCAATCACACCTTAATATAAATATTTCATATTTTCAGTTGCACACTTACATGTCGCACCAGCAGAAACGCCAAAACTATGCTGAACCGCCACGCCCGTTCCCACCGCATAGCAGTCATATTTGCTTTCTCTTTTGCCGGAGCAGAAAAATGCAACAACAATGATTTTCGCTCAGTACAATCTCATATTCCCGACTGATCCAAATCGCTACCAGGTATTGTCTTAAATATCTGAATGGATTGCATCTCAAATATAGCAATTGCGTTTAGTTTTCTCCACGATTATGTATTTCTCGTTTTTAGCTTTCTTTCTTCAATTATTTTATTTTACCTCAGCAGACGTGCTCATGGTGCGTTTTATGTTGCAGTGCTATTATTTCAGTCACAATTATTATTGTTTTAAAATTGTTGAACTGTTCTGGCTTGTAAATCTAGTATTTTTACTCTTCCGTAAATTTCAGACACAAAGGCCTTGAGTGGCAATGTACATAAAATTGTGTTGTGGCTAAGCTTAGTGCAATAGTTGAAAAAAATTCAACGCAGAATTTTATTTATTTAAAAAAGTGTTAATTATACGGGTCGATAGAATGCGAGAGCTTCCGCATAAAGGCATTATTTTACGAACATTTTATATTATTTTCATTACTCAGTCGACCAGATTTAGACTTTTTCGGCAACAGAATCACCATTAAATAAAGAGTACAATTTGATGAAAATGTTCGCTGGTAAATGTTATGGCTCAGCACGTCTCAGTTGTATTTCATTTCCATACAATAGTTAGGGAGTATTTGTAATGCAAGCAAAAACCCTCGAATAGCTAGCGTATTCATGGCTCAGAAAAAGCAGTTTGTTATGAAAAATTGAAGACATTCTACCCTGCACTCCAAGCCGTCAGGCCCACCTTTTTTTTAATTGTACAATTTCTTATTTTTTGTTTTGAATTTGTACTTATTTATTTCTTTTCTAAATAGAGGCATACTGAATGATTTGTCCTTAGACAAACATTAAAAAAAAAAAATTAAATTCTATGAAAAAGGTTTCACAGATTTTCCAATTTAGAGCCAAATAATTTGAAAAAAAAAATAAAAATTAAAAGAGCTGATCTACTGGTACCACCTGTTCAATGTGCCTTGCACCCCTATTGCGAATGTCGACTGGCAGTAGATAAACGACTATTAAGCGATTATCGATTAGCGATGCTATTGCGAGTGTCGCTTAGTTGCTCAATTAGCGACTGTGAATACTTTTTAATCGCTCATTCTTCTATTGCTGTTTTTTAGTCGTTGGAGTTTGCGTTTATAAAATTTACATAAGAAAGTGGTACTATAATGGATAAAAAGTAAGTCAATTGAACTGGAAGTCGTAAAAAATTGTGAAATATACATATGCATGTATGTGTCTGAATTACAGATCAAAAATTATAAGCAACAAAAGGCAACTTGCGCGGTTGTTCGTACTGATGCAGGAGAGTGAAGACATAGGCAAAGGAATTTCCGGAAAGAGTAGGGTAGGAAGCTCCGCTTCTATTGGAAAAGATACATCTACAATATTTCTTGTGCATATAACTCCGGCTACGCCATCCACAGTGTTTTTGCGCAGAACCAACATCAAAAGTTTATACAAAAAAACTGCATAATTTATTAATTGACTAGTGCTCGGAAATTTGAAATCTTTATTTTAAATTAAAGTTGAATTCTTTCAATACACTTGTTATGTTTTTATGTTAAAATTTTTAAACTCGGGGTCACGCGTTTGGACACAAAAACCCAACATCATTCTACAAAAAACTTAACCGTACCGTATTTCTTAAACTTCCATAAAGTTTATTAATGAGGAAAACAGCTTTTCCTGCAAATCATGTAAAGCCTAAAAACTGTGAAGCATCGGGAACGCAACTTCTATTCATAAAACTCACACGTGTACATACACCTTCCAAGTCCAAGGGATCCGACGAATCTCGCAATTCCCTCCTTGCTTTAGCTAACTCTACTAATCTATTAGCTTCCGCATCATCTTCCTCATCACTAAACCATATTTCAACTGTGTCCATTTTTTAAATTTTATAATAAAAGCAATTATTTTAAAAATGATGTAAATAAAACACTGAAGAAACAAATGTAAACAAACAAACAGCTGTTTACAATTCTGTCAACCATTCACAATAGTACAAATTTTTATCGATCAAGTTACACAATAGCAAAATAAAAGATGATCGACTCGATCGACAAATTTCTATTCTACTGCCAGTCGACACTCGCAATAGGGGCCTTGGTTTAATCTTGTAATGTTGATAAAATGGAATTCACTACTCCCGAAAATCAAAATACTTATCTGAATTTAATTCTTAGTCACCGAAAATCGTTTTTTACTCAAATCCAACTGCAGATTCAACGGTACATAAAAAAAAGAAAAACATCCTAGCACAAGTTTACTGATTTAAATAAATTTTCGCTGACATTTTAGTAAATTTTTAAAAGAATTACAAATATTACAAATTCTTGGGACAAATCATTCAGTATGATTTATTTTGGAACGAATTTCCGTCATCTCTTATCAAGTTGTGCCATCTTCAGTGTCATTTTTCGTTCGAAATAAATAAATAAAAATTAAAAAAAAAATTAAGAAATTATACAATTAAAAAAAAAAAGAAATGTGGACCATGGAGTGTCCCCGATGGCTTGGAATGTCTTAAATTTTCCATAACAAACTGCTTTTTCAGAGACATTAATGCGCTAGCTATTCGAGGTTTTTTGCTTGCATCACAAATACTCCCTAGCTATTATATGGAAATGTCTATTTATCTTTCGTTTATGTCAAGAAAGTAATTTTTCACGCTCAAGTTTATTTTTACAAACTTGTGCTATGTGGATGGTATAATTAAATAATCAGCCTCATTGCGTAAGTCGTAAATTAGGCTGAATTGTACGACTCGACAACATTAGCATTGTCTACTGTCGTGCTGAAATAAGTAAACAACGAAAATTGTCGAAAACTATGCAGTGCTGCCAAGTTCTTCCGTTTTAATACACTAGTCGAGTGGAAATTTTAGGCAATGACGCTAAATTTTCGATACGATTCGACTCTCGAAAAACGACTTGCATTCGGCACGACTCCCGCAATGAGGCTGAATAGCAAAGAAAGTAATTTATTCAGGTACAGGTTTGTTTTTTTTTACCTTCCTTTTATTAGCTTGGGATGTAAATATGTAATAAAGATGCAGCGATATCCATTCTCAAGTTGCATACCTGATGACAGCACGAATGGGAATCGCTTTGAATTTTCCATTCTTAAAGTAACCTTATGACAGTACGCATGGAAATTATACTAGCGAGTTTAGTTTTTTAAACTATAATTTTACTTAGAAACGTAGTTATTTCACTCGCTATGGAAAAAGAAGTTTCCTACTTAGCAGTTTCCAATTTTGTTGTTTAAAGTTGCTTTTTAATGAGGACAAACTAAAAAAAAATATTTATATATGTAGATATTGTGAATGTGCACTTGGGTATCAATTTTTTTCTAACTTAATTTTTATACCCGAGCGCACTTGTGCACAAGGGTATTATAACTTTGTTCACATAACGGTTGTTTGTAACAGGCAAAACGAATCGAGATAGATATAGACAAATGTATACATAAATGATCAGAATGAAAAGAGAAATCGATTAAGCGGTGACTGTCTGTCCGTCCGTCCGTCCGTCCGTCCGTCCGTCTGTGCACACGATAACTCGAGTAAAAATTGAGATATCTTAACGAAACTTGGTACGTGCACTTCTTTCTGGCGTAGGACGGATGGTATTGAAAATGGGCAAAATCGGACAATAACCACGCCCACATCCCATATAACAATAATTTAGAGAAATACGAAATCTTCGATAAATCAGTAATTATTGAAGCTAATTTATTCAAAATTGATGTTTGCAACAACTCTTTACCAAGAAATACGTTTAGGATAAAATTTTGAAAAATGGGCGTGACACCGCCCACTTATGATCACATATATGTATCTCGGTAACCGTTCTACCGATTTGTACCAAACTCGGTGTGGTTATTGTGCTTGCCACATAGAAGCAAAACGTTGAAAATTATTGAAATCGAACTCAAATTACGGCCGCTTTTCATATAACAGTAAATTTCAGAAATGCTTGAAACTTCAATATTTCGAAATTTAAGGACGCTAATTTACTCAAAATTTGTACACCCCGGTTTACCATGTAGCGGTAGCTTTCGGAAAGGTAAAAAAACATATATTTAATACTTGCGCCGGGTATTTAATGTTCGGCTCCGCCCGAACTTAGACTTTCTTACTTGTTTATTTAAAAATTACAATAATAAGCACATCGACGGCTGAGTGGAAAATCGACCTACATATATCAGCAGCCGGTTAAAAAACGCCCTATCTCAGAAAAGTTTGAAGTAACGCCCTATTTCAGAATTTGATTGGAAAACGCCCTAAAAATATGTTGAGATATGACGTTTTTGAACCGAATTCTGAAATAGGGCGTTTTTCAATCATCATGTATTATCGAAGGCCAGTCCATCAGGCTCTCTATGGTCGGCTGAGTGGAAGATCGACCTATATCGGCAGCCGGTTTTTCAAGAACGCCCTATTTCAGAATTCCGTTGAAGATCACCCTGACTCAACAAATGGTTAATGAACGCCCTATCTAATTCTAAATTCAACATATCGGCAACTGAGATAGGACGTTCTTTAACCTTCTTCTTTCCGCTTTTTAAGAGGTGGCAACTCTCTTTTGACATTTTTTTCGAAACAAAGCTTCACCTTTTTCAACTGACATCCATATTTTATACTTTGACTTTTAAACAAGTGGCAATCCACTGCAAGATATTTTGATATTAAAGCTTTCTCAAACCTTATTCGTTTGCAAACAATATTCTTATGCTTCTTTTAACTTGATCAAATGAGAACTTGACTTTTTAAATAGGTGGCAATCCTCTCAAAAAATTTTTCGTATTTTTTCTTAATCTCGTTCTTTTCTCATCCATATTGTACAATTTGGATGAGCTTCTAACTTAAAGTAAAATTTAACTTTTTAAGCAAGTGGCATCCCCCTTAAAAACATGTCATATGGGTGTGTCCATAAAAATGTAAACCGAAAATG